ATTTTCTTACCGTTTACAACCTCTCCACCAAAGGATTTGAGACCAAAACTTTCCCCCCTTTGTTGAGCAATTTTTGGGAGGTGCCCAAGGTCTCCACACCTTTCTTTCACGGGTTGGAGTGAGTGACACGAGAAGGAAGAAGGTGCTACAGTTGCTTTATATGTGGGTCATTTGTAGGGGCGGTTGGTGATAGAGCCGCCCCTACAAATCGGAGGTATTTATATGCGGGCATTTGTAGGGGCGGCTCAATCACCAGCCGCCCCTACAAATAGCAATACCGGGGGCGGTTGGTGAGTGAGCCACCCCTACAAATCTGACCCATTTGTAGGGGCGGCTCGTATGACCAGCCGCCCCTGCTGTTCTATTTGTAGGGGCGGCTGGTCTCTGGGCTCCCGAGCACGCCACTGTAGGGGCGGCTCCATCACCAGCCGCCCCTACAAAAAATTCCCGTTGCTACAAATAGTTTTTTACGTAGTGCCATCTTCGGTGTCAACTTCGTCCAAAATTGCCCTATACATTTTACTCGAACTAGGTAGCATGTCCGTGCATTACTACGGGACAGCTAAACTTTTATACTAAAAACACGCAGATCGCACGATAAGATAATAATACTGTGAAAATAAATACCGACATTAAAGAGACATTTAATCTAAAAAAGCAAAGTTCATAAAATTAACATAGTCACGGAGAGCATGACGTCGTAGGCACACAAACTCTACTGTATAGACCTTTCCGTGATGCGACTAAGATAATGTTTTATATCGACGGGAAGAAATCTTCGATATCCATTTCTTTTGTGCACCAATATTTCCACGAATAAGTTCCGCCGCATATCCATACCATCTTGTACACAGGTTCGAGTATATATGTAAATATTAGTGCTTGTCACATGGGTAATACTGTGTGTCTTAAAAATATCTCACAAAACCTTAAAACGAAGTATATTATACTCACCATATAAATATGTGTGGCTTTAGATCTATTCCACGTAGACATATACTGTAGAATATAGTATCCACTTGAGTGTCTGTGGTAAGATTGACCATCAACAATATATAGAAATAGTTAAATCATAGGTATTATTATTGCAAGCAACGGTGACTTTGAGTTAGTTACCCATCTATGTCATCTGCAATGTTTTTTTCACAGATAAATTTCCATTTGAAGATATCCTCGTTCCATTCAGGAATATGTACATTCACTGCGGCCATGTACTGCAAGTTAAATCCAAGAGTTTGCCTAGCATACATCAGTGCTGGTGTGTCTTTACACCATTTTTCAACAGGTCTAGAGTCAATCATGATAAGTGTCTTCTTCTTCTAGTTGAAAATATAAAGCATATATTTTCCAACATGTAGCCATGGCAAAATAAACTACAAACATAGTAGTGATTAGAATAACATATAGGAAACACGTAATAAAAGCAGGAGCAAGCGACTTACGTATCTGCACTGTGCTAAGTTGTATTCCATATTCTCACATACACCAATCGCAACAGCCATTTCTTTTGTACTGTATTTTTTATGGTATTCTGGTATTTTTGTTAAAGCATGCATTTTCTGGAAGAGAAGGATATCGAGAGTCAGGATTAGTATAACTTGGTTTATTTTATATAATTAGAAGAACAACAAATAAGACAATGTAATATAGCACGATAGTAATTAATTATAAAAATGTGCTTACACATAATCTTAGGTCCATGTGATGCTTCATAATACTATTGTAACCATTAGAAAGTAGTAGAATAGAAGAAATATAGTAACATTCTCACTGGGAAGTAGAGTAACACATATGGCACACATATATGTTGTGTTAATCAAATGTTAAGTACCAGCAAAAACAAAGTACTTTGGGGAAATAGTTGCATATGAGCAAGACATGCGGTATATACTTGTGTTTACAGATTCTTTATCTACAGCATTATGTGATTAGAATAACACTCCAAGCATATGTGACACGAGACCGATATCTGTCTCACAGATCCTTTTAATATTTCCGTCATAAACACTACACTACCATATAAACCGCCATTTTCATCCGGCAGAATAGCAAGCAGTAAGTCAATCTTCTGATCTCTCAGCTTGTTCTGTGCTTCCAGATAGCATATACGAATACCAAGTTCAACTTGATCTGGACGAGCAGTGAATATTGGGAGCTTCAAATTGGCGAAGTCCTGAAATTAAAGTGAAAATGGTAGACAAGACAGTTTCGACCTAGAGACGGTGAAAAAGTATGATGGAAGGCATATTACCACTCCAGTAATGCTAGACATTTGAGCTAGCTTAAAGCAAAACTCCTCAATAGCTTTCTTGGATATATCTTCACATAAATGAACACATGGCCAGTTGCTGATTTTGTCACCATTAATATCAATAGTTCGAAAAAGATGGAAAATGTGTTCAACAGAAACATGTTGCTTTCTTTACATAATTTGTGGTTCAGACGTATTTTAAGTAAAAAAAATACTTGTTGCTCTATGAACAAAGATGTTGGACAGCGATAGAAAGAAAACTCACGAATGTGTTGTGGAACAATTAAAATTTACAAATGTTACATATGTATAATTGAGTGATGGAACAGTAAGCCATATATTTTTAGGAGTCTTAAAAAAAATGCTAGAAAAAAAATAAGGGAGACTATTGGACTACAATTCACATGCTTCATTACTTCCTAGGGTCATTTGAAAGAAGAATTTGGGATGGGATTACAGGTCATCAGTCCAAGCACCGAGAACCATAGCCGGGAGCCGCCGCTGCTGGATTCGTGCTAACGCCTCCTAGTCCTGGGCAGGGCAACTGCTAGCTCGCAGCTCCAGCTGGGCTCCTATCAGGGCCATACTTGTCAAGCAAACCCTCAGATATCTGCAACAATCAAGAGAAGCTTATCAGGCCATATTTGCCACAGGGAGAAAAATAAGGCATAAATCGCAAGGTATAATTCAGAGATTCAGAACCAAGTCATTTTCTTGAATTAATAACCAAACAGGATGTTGACATGTTATTTAGAAACCATGGAGATGAACAGATATCTCAATAAAGATGCCATCCATAAATCTTGTGGGATACACATGAAAACAACAAAACTACCAAACTATGGTGGTATTTCGTCACATGACAGTGAATTCAATGGACTGAAAAAGGGACTCCTCACTGAATCCTTCTGCAGCCACCAAATTGCCGCGGCAAACAAGAGCAGTGATAAGTGAGTACAAAATTTCACAAAAGCTGAAGAGCATTCAGGATCCTCGACCCCTGCAATCTGCTCTCTCACTACCTCTTCCAATTGAATAGGATCTGGAAGAAATGAAGGAACATCTAGAAGAAATGAAGGAACAATAATATTAGTCACTTATTGTTATCAAAAATATTTTTAAGTCTAATATGCATTGTCAAAAACAGAGTCTTGACACAACGTCCTTGCATCGAGGGCATATAGAACTTATCAAGTATCTGTGAAAATGATTATACCTATTCTAGTACTATGGAATGTGAATGTAAACACAAAACATAGATGAAGACAGGAATGAGGTGACTGCCTATGTGCGATCATTCCTATGTTTAGATTAAAAAAAGGTGCAGCACGGCTAAGATTATAGAGCATTTTTAAACCGGCCCAGCTTTTGCTTCTCCCAACATAAGTATCTCTTAACTGCATATAAGTTAACAAGAGAGACATCATTTTCTTTTAACAGGAGAGACATCACTTTATATTCACCTATAGGATCTCTTTTCCGTACATGTAAAGAACATGTTATAATCGCTCTACTCAACTTGGCACATTAATCGCTCACAGAAATGCAGACCGGCTAAAAAAAGGGAGAACATAATCATCATAGCGGAGCCAATATGGAGGGTCATTCGGTGGCAAATGAAACTAAACTGTCAACAGTAACCCAGGATCGAAAATTTTCAGTGTGGATTGTACATGGCATGACAAATTTTCAATGTGAACCTTCAAAAAAAAATCAGTGTGAAAATTTTCGGTGGATCCAATATAAATCTGTCACGACAGAAATTGTGTTTATCAGTTCTATTTTTTTTATTGGCAATGCAGAAACTGAGAAACTACGTCATATCACTGGGCAATGTATACATGCCAATAGTAACCTAGTAGTTTATTAGTTGATGCAGAATGAACATGGCAGCAATAATCTAGTTTGGCCATTTGGGCAAAAAGTAGAATGACACAACTATATTATTTGCATAAATCATGCAGAGATAAGCTGCCGCAACCATTCACACACTAAATAAGCTGAACATGTGATATATATAAGCCGGAGAATAACCATCAACAAATAGATACAGACTCTGTGTATAGTGATTAAACTACCATCAGCCATATATGTAATGAACAAAATCAGTGATGAGAAAAGGATACACCTTTCATTTTCAGGCTCTTTAGCACACTGCTGGAAAATTCCCTACTTTCAACCACCTTTTGAAAGAAGAGATTCACGCTTTCTTTAGCTACAAACACCAAACGGAAGAGATGGAGCAACCACTTAATTTTAAAACAGTAACAGAAATGTTGCAAGTTCCTTCAAAAATTTATCCTCTCCCTAGACAACAAAGTAGAAGAGCATCTAGTTGAAACCCATACATCTCATTCTGAAAAAGTTTGAGAAGCTTGCACCTTATTTATGTTGAATTTGGTTGGTCTGCAGCATGATGTACAGAGACCAGCAGTACAGTACATGGATGCAACTGTCTTGGCCTATCTATGTACTCAGATTATTTCATCACAATGACATGCATATTCTGGAGTAATAGATTCTCATCCCTCAGGGCCCCCATAATAATAATTCTAAGTTTGACCCAGTAGCAGTGCCTCCCAGTGTTCTTCTTGATAGAATTTATCACCCTCAAGCAAAAAATCAGTGCCTCCGAATGTTCTTCTCCATAAGGCAAGCATCTCCACTTAAGTTAGCCAACCCAAATCAGTTGAAGTTAGCCAGCCTGATCTTAAACTTCACAACGCAGAGCGTTGCAAGGATGGGCAGCTCAAGCGGCGCTCGTCTCATCCATGAGCATCTCCACACTAAGACGCCGTCTCCAAACTAAGACGCCGCTCATATGGTCGGCGATGGGGTACTTATTGTCCTCGGCGAGCACCACGGCCTGCTGGACATATCCCAAATTCTCAGGCACAACAAAGAAGAAAAAATTATCATGGGTGCTGCAATTTTCTCAATCGTGAATTAGCAGCATATACCTCTGCAACAAACCAACCCTCGCCTCCGCTGCCGCAGCAACAGCGGCTCATCGCCGCCCATCCCCACAAGAGCAGCGCGCTGAGAAGGTGAGGACGCGGCTGCGAAACTCCTCGGTTGCCCCCCAGACTTGGGCGGCGCAGTCCTGCCAGTCGCATCTGACCCCGCTGCAGCCATGACCCTGCGGGGCCTGAGCCAGAGCAGCACCTCCACCATGACCTCCCTGGGCACGGGGTCCCCGCCTCATCGAAGGAGAGGGCGCGGCGGAGCCGGTGCTCCCTGCGGCCCTCAAGCCCCCCGGCTAGGTCGCCCGTGCGGCCATCAACGAGGCTGACCGCACCATCGCCATTGATCCCCGTGACTCTGCCTCGCTCATCCTCAAGGCCCTCGACCTCGACCTCCAGGGCCGCCATCTTCCCCGACGCGCGAGGGCGAGGGCGAGGGCGAGGGCAACGTCAGTAGAAGGCCAAATCCACCGCATGAGGAGTGCGACCGATCAGGCGAAGGGGAAGTGGGATCGTAGGAAGGCAAAATTCATTGGCGAAGTGGGATCGTAGAAAGGCAAAATTCGTTGTGGTGATTGCGTTGGCTTTCCGTTTTTACCTCCGTTGAGCGAGCAAGTGTGAGCCATCGCACGCCAGGCAGGCCGACGTAGCGCTCGCGGGATCGCACAGGGAGGGCAGGAAGGTGAGGAGAAGTTTTTGTCGCACCAAAATGGTGTCTCCTCTTTAGTCTTTTTAGTTGTGAGAGATATACACTGTTAAGAATAGTGAGGTGACATGAACCAATGGGCCTGCTTTTGCGGTGCCCATTAACCCGTCCATTTTCCATCATTTTACAGGCCTATGAGGAAACAGGGCGGGACACGTACTCTTTGTAGTTGCTTCGGCCCATAGAGCTGTGTTTGCCCAGAAGCAAAAAGTATGGGCCTCTGGCGACAATCTTCGTCTGCAAAATTTAATGTTGTGTGTTTGCTTTGCGTCGCTGAAGGGGTCCTATACATCTGTTCCAGAAACTGCCCAAGCTTAGTAATCTGTACACGGTGCATGATGCCTTATGTGCGGAATCAGAGGCCTGCATTGCAGCCTCACAAGCAGCCATACAACATGGTTTATCACGGATCATCCTAGAGACGGATTCCCTATCTCTGGTAAGAGCTCTCTGAACCAGCAGTGACTATGATCAAGCTCCAGGTGGGCCGCTCGCTCTTCAGGGAAGCTCGAGCTGAGATTGCTTCGTCCTTCATTGAGGTCGTGATCGTCCATTCTAATCGCTCTTGTAACTCGTGTGCTCACGATTTAGCTCGCTCTAGTGTGAGTTGGGACCCGTGTGCCGTGCCAGTCTGTGATATGGAGCGACACCCTCCTAGACTTTGTAAACAATCTTGTGGTTCGTGATTTTGCTAAACCCTGTATGAACAATGAATGAGCGGGCGCTTGTAGTTTCAAAAAAAAACTGCGGACGGCGTGTAGCCTTAGCCCTCGGGTAGTCAGATGCTAAGCTTAATTATCAGTTGTCATGAGGAGGGGCAATCTTACCCTGGGCTCGGTCGGTCCTGCTGGCCGCCGAATCTGAACCTGCGATCGGTCTCGGCAGGGTCGGTCCTGCTGGTGCCGAATCTGAACCTGGGTTCTTCAGGTTTATAACTCTAATGTCAAGCAATCCAAGGATGGTGCCGTTTGTCCCTGAGAGATCAAGTATTTTTCTTTGAAGGATATTTTTATCAAGTTTGAGATGTGAGATGCCAAGCCACATTGTTCACTCCCATGGTGCAGTCCATATATAGCTCCTTTTTTTAAACGAACAAGGCAGAAGGACTGCCTGTTGTATTAAAAAGAAGGTGAGCCAAGACAGGCTAGAACAAGATTGTACAAAAAACTATACAAAGGAGTGTAAAAGAAAAACTCTCAGTGTCTGCCTATCAAAATTGCTAGATGTTTCCCTCCAGCCATAATCCACATCCCGCTTTCATCTTTTATTTTCTGAAGTAGCTGATTATGAGGTAACTCTTTGTGATTGAATATTCGTGCATTTCTTTCATTCCAAATTTCCCATGGAACTAAGATGATCATAGAACGCATTCCTTTCCTGGAGTGGCAAGGTACGGCTGATAGGGAGGTCCACCATTGATGAAGTGATTCGGTTTGCGACCAGGAAGGAAAAAAGAGGCCACTGAGTCCTATCGAAGTAGCAAGTTCCTCCCGAATACGCATGGAGTATCTGCAATGAGCGAGAAGATGGAGGACAGTTTCTGGCTCTCTATGACAGAGGGGCAAACAACGTTGTTGGGCCAACCTCTCGCCTGGAGCCTATCTGCCGTCCAAAGTCTATTTTGGATGGCGAGCTATCCAAATAATTTGCATTTAGGTGGTTCCCAAACCTTCCAAATGAGTGTGCCAAAATTGGTTGTTGTTGACCCTAAAAATTGGGCTCTGTAAGCTGAGTTTGCAGAATATTCACCATCAGCGGTGCTGCAATATTGCCACACGCCATATTGCCACGTACTCGATAAAGTGTTGTGCATTGAAGCCACGGTGCTGCAAGTTAAGATCATTGATCCAGTTTTGATTTTGAGTGGCAACATAAAGGGATCTATTTTTTCTTTTAGAAATTTTGAAGAGGTTTGGCGCAATATCTTTTAGCCTTTGTCCTTGACTCCAGGCCCCATACCAAAAGAAAGTTTTCTTGCCATCCCCAATGGTAATCTTTGTTGCAGCTGCAAACAAGAGGGGATTTCTGACCCCCACCCAGGGCTTATCGCTTGACTTCCATTCATGCCACAGCCATCGAAGCCTAAGCGCCGTAGTGAACCTTCCCAAGTGTAGGATCCCCAGGCCTCCTGAACACGTTGGCCTTCTTGCACGGCTCCAATTAACTTTGCATTTTCCACCGGTCAAAGCTTTAGAACCGGCCCACATAAATTGTTTCCTCTTATTGTCAATTTCATCTAGCACCTCCTTGGGTGCCTACAGGGCTGTGAGCAGGTAAACCGGTTGTGACGTGAGCACCGATTTGATCAGCGTGAGTCAACCTGCTGGAGTTGTGTGTTTTCCATTCCAAGAGATAAATTTGCTAACTGCCTTATCGACAAGGAATTGAAGGTCCACACGCCGTAATCGCGTAGTGGCCGGTGAGAGGTAAGCCCAGGTACTTGATCACAAAGTGCACTCGTGTTGCTGGGAGGTCAGCAATGGAGCACCGTATTGGGACTACTGTGGACTCCTGAAAGTTTGTTAGGAGACCCGTTGCCTCACTGAATCAAGTAAGAATATTTGCCAAGGTGGAGATGACTTTCTTTCGAGGATTGATGAAGAGGGCTGTATCATCTGCGTACATGGAGGTTCTAATGTTGTGTGTGTGTCCCCCTTAACTTTCTTAGAATGGCTCTCTGTTGCTAAGTCCAGGAGGCGTCACAATGGGTCAATGGCGATAACAAATAAGAGCGGTGAGAGGGGGTCGATGTAGCACCCGGTTTTAAGAACAAAACCATATACAAATCATATGTGAGCCCAGGAAGTCAAATCTCACATACAGCTACAAATAAGGGTAATATCAAAAGACAATGCTTAAATACATAGCGTATAAGTATAAAGATTATAACCTCAGAGTATAGACAGCGGAAAGACAACTCCAAACTTCAGGCGAAGACTCCAAAATCCACAGGGACAACTGACTGGTTGATCACAAGCCTAATTCCTGCAAACTCTAGCAATTTGGTACCCATCCAGGATTTTTATCCAAATATGTGAAAAATAAAGCAAGCGTAAGTACATGTCGTACTCAACAAATATAACATGGGGTTCATGAGGCTCAGAAGGCTGACACTGGTTTAACTACGGTTAGCTTTTAATGAGTGATCTTTTAGCAATTGGGTGGCAACAAGTTCATCACAAGCCCATAAACACATTGATCAGGTAAACATGAATAATGAATAGCATAAACAGTAATCATTAGTGAGCATCTTTATCATCAGTATCATCAGTGTTCATTATCTATTCCGTAAGGGTTCCAAGGCCGCTCGTGACCGTGAGCACGGCTGATATACCAGTTTTACAATCTGCAGATGTTGTACACTTTCACTGTGAGTCGTGATTTACCCTTTCGCCCGAGGTGGCCAACCTCTTGACCCACTACCAAGGAAGGTCGGCAGGGTTCACTATGAAGCCTTTCAAAGGTTCGTCTAACAAATTAGGGCCGCTAGGTTTCTGTGGCCTACGAATGTAGGGCTCCCCTTCCGACAGGCACAATGACGCGCAGCCTATACACTGACAGATAGAGGCCGCACTATATCCAACCCGGAACACACCCCTCTTGCGCCATAAAGGTAACCTCTAACAAGCTAGAAAAGGTCCTCATACTGAGCTAAAGTTAGAGCCATATAGCCCTCACAGCTATACTGTAAGTCCCGGATGATCACTTACAGATAAGTCCTTAGGGAGGGGAATCTAGAGCACCATAAAATAGCCCAATGCTCTAGCCCCCTTGTTCCATGTTGCTAAAAAGCATCTTTTAATGTTTATTGCATATACCATTAGTCAAGTTACAAGATCATGGTTGTAGTTGAGCACTAGCATCATACTACCCAATGCAATACCCCATAGGTATCAAGGTAAAAATTCAATTTCTAGGGAATTCCTATCAAGGTGACACATGCAACATGAATTTAATGTATTAAAGTGAATAGGAAAAGGATGATCCCATGTTATACTTACCTTAAACTTGCTTTACATCCAAAGCAACTTGCTTAGAGAAGCTTCAACTTTATCTTCTATTCTGCAGCTTCGTGCACTCAACTTCTGATCTCCACTGCTTACGTACTGTTCTCTTCTACTCGTGGCAAACACCAAGCACAAAGAAACATACAAGCAAGCAAGCAAAATAAACTAAGAACAATACATCAATCATAGCAACAGCTTTAAAACAACGTACTAGGAGGGAGGTCTCGTTGTTGTGGTTTCGACAACGCAAGAAATGTCAATAATGGAATTACCGTTAAAAAGAAACGACTACCGGGAGTTCTATATTATACTATAAAAGAAAAGGAACAACCGTAAGCTGAATTTATTTTAGTTAACAAACCCATGGAAAAATTATTAGTTTAGATTAGTCAAATCATCTTTTAATTCAAAAGTCGAGTTATGACCGGTCATATTTTATTAATAAATACGGCCGTCTAATTTAAGTCATGTTAAACTTTAAATTTGCGAAGATAAAATAACACGTGAAAATATCTATTCAAATTATACGTGACGCATGATTGAGCTAACCAAACTATAATTACAAACATATATATTAATATTAATCAAATTAGAGTTTATTTAGGAAAGATCGACATTTAGCTATGTTGTTTTTAATTATAAAATTGGTTGCATATATATATTAGTCATTTTAATATTCAACTATATATAGAAAA